TGTCTTCCTTGACATTAGAACTTTAATGGATCCCAAATTAAATATCTTAACACTGTAGTGCTGAATTTTGTTCACCTTCCTCAGTGTCATATTGCAAGAAATGTAATTGAAATTGTACCTGTACCAGGTGTTTCTAGTACATATATTGTGTACATTTATAGCTATCTACAGATGATAATATGTCAGTTCGATTGTTCCCCTACTCAAATCCTCTTATCTTAAACTTGGAAAAATATTGTGGGATTTCTTTTGCTGGCTTTTTGTAAGTAGCAGGTTTTCCTGGAGCCATTTCAGTCTGCTTTGTGGATTCAGAGTCTGATCATAGAATATGTTCTAGATTGTTTAGATAAGAACATTAATTTGAAAATTATCCATATTTTCAAGTTGCTATATTTTTAATATTTACAGATATTTGTTCCCACTGGAATAGAATGCTTGTAGCTGTAGGGCAGTTCTCAGTTAACATATCTGTGCCCCTGAAGCTTGCAATCTTCATACTAATAGTATTCTGTAGCTTCATAAACTAGGGAGTACTGGAGAGTGTAACGATGTTGTAATTTCATCCTGATGAAACAGACCACTTCCTAAACCCCTCCCTGAGTGTTTGAAGTGCAAGTAGTAGCTGAGCCTGTGGCAGGGGTATGTAGATTACTCACTGACCTTTTGTAATTTAGCAGCAGCGTAAACCGTACAGTGAACAATCATCTAAATACGTGAACGAGTTTGTGGTTTAAAATGACCAGTGTGGTTCTGTTCATAGGATTCTGGTTCATAAAGGGATCTTACAGTCTCCTGTAAAAATAAGTAAGCTTGTTAGAGTTTGGAGTTGCCATTCCAGAAGGAGAATCAATTTGTATGTTTGGTGATATCTTGTCTTTTTCAGAGGCCCCTTAATAGATGTCGCCAGTATCTTCATCTGTAACAGTTGGAGAACTTAAAGTAGACTTAAGGAGGAGACTTACAAATTAATTTTAGTGACAAAAGCGTCAGGAGAGCTAAAAGCTGTGTAGATCAATCACGTGCAGTCTCGTGATATGAAATAAATGTTGGGCAGTAACACTGAGGTGTTAAACTAGTTCTTATACAGGTAGACTCATCTTTCTAAAATAACTTGAGTATGAAGCAGTTGATTTGGATGTGTTCTAGAGTTAGTCTTCAGCACCAGAAGCCAGATCCTAAGTGTTAAGAGGTCATCAAACTGTGTTAATGTTTAACCATGTTTTAAAGATAATGACTGAAAGAAAAGTACCTTAAATAACTAGATCAGTTCAAAATAATTTCAAAGTGGGTTTTAGATTATTTTTCATGTAAGTTTCCCCCATCCCCCATCCCAAGGTAATTTACATGGAAATAAAAGAAACCAAAAAAAGAGGACAAAGGAACCTACAGAAGATTTTGAAGTTCAGGAAGCACCTAGGAAAAGACTCAGGATGGATAAACAGAATAATCGGAAGGTAATTATGTCGTTGGTTTGTTTGGGTTGATTTATAGCAGCACCAGTCACATTGCTGTAGTTAAGTTTGTCAGCATTTCCATTTTCAGGATTAAAAAAGTACTAGATCGTACCAAAGTGTTGTAAATGTTCAGATACATGTGAGCTTTGTTTTGAGAATGGAGGTATGACTTAAACCATGGCGAACATGTCACTGAGAAAATCTGTTTCCCGAAGGAATGTGCAGAGGGAGGCGTGACCTCTCCATGTTGTCATGCTTTGTAGTTCTTTTTCTTCCCTCCTGATTTGGAGTTCAGTTTTACAGGAAAGTAAAAAAAAAAAAAAAAAA